ATCCATGCATATATAGACATCTACAAAGATGCCAAGGCAATTCTTTGGAGAAAGGATATTATTCAATAATTGGTGCTGGAGCAACAGGATACCCAAATGCAAAGAATGTATGTGGTCCACAGCTTTTACCTTATGCACAAACTAAAAAAAAAGAATCATATACCTAAATGTAAATTCTAAAACCATAGAGCTCTAAAGAAAAAAATTTCCTAGATAGGACACCAAAAGCATAACCCATCAAACAAACAAAAAATAAGTTGTACTTCATTAGCATTATTAGTTCTACTTTTTGGGTTTTTTTAAAATATATTTTTATCTTTATTGTTGAAAGTATTACAGATGTCCCCTTTTCCCCCCACTAATCTCTTTTAGCCGGCACCTGCCCCCCAATCCCAGGCCCTTACCACACTATTGTCTGTTCTACTGAAGGACACTATTAAGGACATAAGACAAGCCTCAGACTAGGAGAATATAGTTGCAAATTGTAAATCTCATAAAGAACTTATATCTGGAATCTAGAAAGTATATTTAAAACTAATAATAAGAAAACAACCTAATAAAATGAGCAAAAGATTTGAACAAACACTTCACTAAAATATACATATGGTAAATAAGCACATGAAAAGATGCTCTGAATTCTTAGTTATTAGAGAAATGCAAATTAACATCATATCACTATACAGTGGGGCCTTGACTTACGAGTGTCCCGACTAACGAGTTTTTTGAGATACCAGCTGTCTCTTGGCCGATTTTTTGCATTGAGTTGATAGAGTAATTTGAGTTAACGAGCTTCTTAACGAGCTTGGTCTCAGAACGAATATAACTCGTAAGTCAAGGCCCCACTGTATATGCATTAGAATGACCAAAACTGAAAAGAATGACCATATCAAGGATTGGTGAGGGCATGGAGGACCTGGAATTGCTGGTGGATATGAAAACTATGAAAACATTTTAGAAGACAGTTTGGCATCTTGTTAAAAAGTTAAACACACATGCCGAACTGGTTTGGCTCAGTGGATAGAGCGTCAGCCTGCGGACTGAGGGGTCCCGGGTTCAATTCCGGTCAAGGGCATGTGCCTTGGTTGTGGGCGCATCCCCAGTGGGGGGCGTGCAGGGGGCAGCTGGTTGATGTTTCTCTCTCATTGATGTTTCTAACTCTCTATCCCTCTCCCTTCCTCTCTGTGAAAAACCAATAAAATATATTAAAAAAAAGTTAAACACACACCTACCATTTTCCAGCCATTCCACTCCTAGATAGAAATGAAAGCATACTGAGTGGAGCAAAAGTGGGTTTACTGTTGTGAGTACATACCACACAGATTTTATGCTTGTATTATTATTTACTAATTATTGCATTATTTTCCATACAAACAACTGTAAATCTACTTTTGCCCCAACCTGACTATACATAGAGACTTGTCCACAAATATTCATAGAAGCTTTATTTGCAATAGTCAAAACTAAGAAACAACCTAAAATTCCATCAACAGGTGAATGGACAAACAACATATGCTTTAGTCATACAATGGAATACTGCTCAGAAATATAAATGAATGAACTATTGATAAGTGCAACAATAAGAATGAATCTCAGATTAACTATGCTTAGTGAATGAAGCTAGACAATAAGATAGCATGTGCTGCCCTAACCGGTTTGGCTCAGTGGATAGAGTGTCGGCCTGCAGACTCAAGGGTCCCAGGTTCGATTCTGGTCAAGGGCATGTACGTTGGTTGCAGGCACATGCCTAGTGGGAGTGTGCAGGAGGCAGCTGATCGGTGTTTCTCTTTCATCAATGTTTCTGGCTGGCTCTCTATCCTTCTCCCTTCCTCTCTGTAAAAAATCAATAAAATATATTTTTAAAAAAAGGTAGCATGTGCTATATACTTCTATTTATATAAAACTCCAGAAAATTCAAACTAATCTATACTAATAGAAAAAGACCACTGGTTGTCAGGGGAAGGAGGAAAGGGAGGAGAAGGAGGGACTACTGACGGTGAGAGGACATTTGGTGGGTCACTGATATGCTTGTAAGTTAGTGACATGCATTTATTCATAGAACAAAACCCAAATTGCCCACTTTACATGCAGTTTATTGCTTGTCAGTTATTATCTCAATAAAGCTATTAAAACTATCACCAAACTCAATTCTGTTTACCTGCCTTTTTCACAGCCCCAAATTATCCTTAATTAAACTTTGTTTTCTGTTGCCTAATAGCTCTCAGCGAATGACTTTTTGTTTGAAATTCTAGAAAAGAATGACCCAGTTCACAAAAGCCTTAAGGATGTTGCCAGTGCCGCCTAATTATTAAGACTATTTCTATAGTTTAGTTTTTATGTTTCATTATTTTCATATCAGGCTAAGCAATGAATATAAATCAATCGCTTTTAAATTATGGTGGGAATATATCTTTCCAGGAGCTTACGAGTCACCAACTTATACCAACTATGTGCCTGGAAGACAAGACACTTTCTACATATTTGTTTAATTTACTCACTTATTCAAAAAAGGGATAATTATTGAATCTCCAGTATATTCCAAGCACTGTGATGATTGAGTGCCTACTACATACTAGGCACTGTGCTTAATACTCAGTCCTTAATAAAAATTCTTTCATACAGATATTTATTATTATCAATTTGCAGATTAGCAAAGTGAGGAACAGAGATGTTAAATACTTGCCTGATTTTACTTATCTAGGATGCAAAAAATTTTGGAAAAGTAATTTTTTCCTATACAAATATAAAATTAAAAATTCCTTCCTCCTAGTCATTGACAGGTCTTTCTCTGGTTCGGGGGAAAAGAGCACATGACAGATACACACATGGGCATGGGCATGGGCATGCACACACACATGCACACACACACAGTTTTTGAAAGACCTTTGCAATATTTTTTTTAGTTCTGTCACTTCACTCCCAGGCATATTTTCATTCATTTTACACTGTAGTTTCAAGGTTGTTATAGCTTCAAACTCTGTCTTGTGAGGTGAGGTGCCCAAGAATATAAAGGAGATTGGTTAGCAAATGTCAATAATGTACTTCAAAGGGGCTGGGGTATATAAATTGAAAGTTGTTATTCTTCCTGTAATAGAAGAATTGGTTGAAATGTTGAATTTCCTCTAATGAAAATGTTTAATTCCTTTCATTGGTAAAATGGGTTACTGCCAAAGAAGTCTAAACAACCAGTGGTTTGGTGGATGGTAAGGGTTTCTGCAATAACACCTGAACAGCAGGAGGTGCAGGTAGTTTTCAAAGTAAAATAGGACTGAAAGCAAAGGGTCGTGCACCTTGCAGTAAGGTGAGATATCAGTTATGCCCCATGGGCTGTTCAAAGAGGCACAGCAGATGTAAAGAAGGGGAAGCTGGAATGGAGCCACATAACACATGCCTTCATTTCATTCATGGAGCACAGAGCAGATGGCCCCTTACTTTGATGAATGATCAGAAGGGAAGCCCATGGATTCATAGAGAATAGGAGCATACAAAAGGCTTTTAGGGACCATGTGTCCAGGAGAGCTCCAGATGGGGTGCTTAGCTCCCTCTTCTTACTCTCAGATCAAAATCCAGCATAAAATCCTAAGGACTGGCCACAGATAGTATCAAATGGTAGATGGTATGGAATGAATGCCCTCCTCTTCATCAAGCTTCCATTCTTTCTGCTCTCTTTGTCCCAAATATTTCTTCTCTGCAAAAATCCTTGCTTTCTGTACAATCTGAACCCAGCTGTCCTTCAGGACTCTGCTCAAATCCACATCTCTAGTTTTCTTAGCCCACAGTGATAGTTTCCTCTCAATTCCTAAATTACTCAGTTTATATTAGCTATTGTTTCTTTAATGAATAATACATGTAGCATATTATGTTCTTACTAGTATTTATAGACAAACTTCTGGTTTTAAGTAACTTGAGGTTTAAAGCCATTTTTTAATTCATTAAACTTCTGCTGAGCACAGTGCCTAGAGACTATAGCAGATGTTACTATATTCTTTGTGCCAATCAAGGTCGTAATATAGATTTCTTGGCACTTTTGGTATATAAAAAAAAATCAGATCTTTAGCTTCTGACAACAGATTGAAATTGAGGAACACTGCCCTCTAAGAAAAGCCATATGGAGAGCCTGGACTATTTGGAAATGATGACAATATATATGTCAGGTATTCAATGTACAATTGGCAAGGACCCATACAAATAAGAGAGCATCTTTGGATGAGATGCTGAAAATAAATAGCCACAAATTGGGGGCAACTGGCAGTTGTTGGGCCTCCTATTACTCTTGATAATGTTCTTTTGTTCATTAAGACTTTTTGGGTTGCTAGTGACAGAAATCAACTCTAACTGGCTTGTGCAATAGGAGAATTCCTTCATTCACAAAGAGCATACTTAAGTCAGAGAACTGACAGAAGAGCCTCAGGGTCTTTAACCAGAACCAAAGTCACAGATTCCTCTGTCTCCACTTGACTTTATTCAGCAAGCATATCCTCTCCATATATCTATTAGCAACCCCAGATAAACACCATCCAGTCTTGGAAACCTCAGGGAATAGATTAGTCCCAAGGAAAGATTAAGACGGACATTTCTCAGACCACGTGCCCCCCTTGAGACAATCACAGTAACCAGTGAGATGTAGACCTGGAATACCACCTGTTAACCCTGTGGCCAGGGGACAATGTTTGTTACAGGAGAGGAGAAACAGAAAGCTTATTTTTCCAACAAAAATAATAACCTTTCACAGGCTGGTATAGGTGTGGCATTTATCAACATGTCTTTACCATAATGCCCTATTTTCAGCTAGGCTGGGGACAGTGGATTGCTCACTTCCAGATGTCACTGACGTTTTGAGGGATATCAAATTTCCCAAGATTCTGTGAGCAAAGTGAGTCTCTAGGTTACCTAGGAGCCTCTAGAATACAAGTCTATTAAGGAAGAAGATTATGTAATTCTGTTAGTAATGCCTGACAACAGTGGTTATGAGGGTGGTTCCAGAAAGAAATATATTTCCTTACCTTGAAGCTGCTGGAAGTCCTATAGAGCTGACACACAGGTCACATGAAGAGTAGTAAGGGAACAAGTGTCATGGAGGCATCATTCCTTTTGAACTGTCACGCTGATGACATATCTGCAGAAGAATGTGTAAAGATAAATGAAAAACAGTCTGATTTTTCTTAGTTCTCATTCCCTGAAAAAATGTTTTTGCCACCATCACATTTAAAACAGTGATTTTCAACCACTGTGCAGCAAGAAGTTTTAAAACATGCAATACTGACTATTTAGTCAGGGGCACTGTCTTCTTTTCCCTTAGATTAGCAAATAAAAAAATGACAACTGCCAACACAACAACAGTTACCAGGTGTAAATGAATCAATTTTTTACCTTTTTTTTGTCAGATCACCCAAAAATTATATTCTTTGGGGAGCTGAATTTTAGTAATTAGTTTATGTATACCTTGAGATGAAAAAGGTTGAAAATTGCTGCATTAAAAGATAGTAAAAATTCTAGAGCAAGTATAAATTGCTTCAAACATATTAAGATAGTTCTGTTTGTAAAATTTATTTTTGCAAAGATTAAAAAACCATGCCAAACTGATTGAAGACCCCTGTTGAGAACATTAAAACATTTATTGTGCAGCACTGTAATTTGTATCTGAAAAAACAAGCATCTGACCATGTTCATTTCTAAGCATATACAACTGTCACAGAAGAAACAATTAAGAAATTGTTTTGCATTCCATTGGAGGCTCACTTCTGTTTTAGAGAAGTACCCTAGCTATGGGGTATAGCCCCTCCATTGGCTGTTACTCTGCTTCTTGGCTTCTTAGATCGAAACCTCTAGCTCAAACTAAATCATCCCATCTTTAACCATGCTGTAAGCAAAAGTTTGTCAGCTGAGATAGTTTCCTAGCTGTTACACACATGTTCAAGCCAAAAAAAAAATGAATTGTTATGATTCATTCTTATCTGAATGGGTCTCCTAAGAAAAGATTACTCTGAGCTTCTGCCTTCCTGCTTTGGGGCCTCCTTCCAGAGACTTATCTTCCTGACCCCCTTTATTCTCAGAGCAACCCAGAGCTTCCCAAGGTTTCTATTCAGAGGCTTCAACTTTGTTAGTTTCTAAGAAAGTTTAAAGTCTACCCACCACCTGAATCTTTTCCCTCTGTGTCTGTGCACTGTGAGGCAGATGTAGTGTTAAATCACTACCCCATTTATCAAACAATGACCCATCCTTGGGACTGTGTGGTGCTCTAAATCACAGTCAAAGACAAGCCTCATCTAAATGGCCACATTTTTGTTAGTCAAGATTAATGAAAGAAATGAATGATTTAAGAAAAGTATTCATATCTAACAGCCTCAAGGTTCAGAAGTAATGACTGAAAGCTAATTATAGAAAGACTGAAAGGGGTTATAACCCTTAGGATTTGATTTTTTAAAATATATTTTTTACAGAGAGGAAGGGAGAAGGAGAGGGATAGAGAGTTAGAAACAATGATGAGAGAGAAACATTGATCAGCTGCCTCCTACAAACTCCCTACTGGGGATGTGCCCTCAACCAAGGTACATGCCCTTGACCGGAATTGAACCTGGGACCCTTCAGTCCGCAGGCCGACGCTCTATCCATTGAGCAAAACCGGTTAGGGCCGATTTTTTAAAAAAATCCTAAAATTCCATGGAGTGTTCTCCAAATTATTAAAAATCCCTTTTAAGGAAGTGAAACTCAATGAGCTATTCCTGTACTCCTTTCTCATTCCGTCACTGAAAAAAAAAATGTATTTTTATCATTATGTGAATAAAACTCCCTCTGGAGTATTTTCTCCCTCCCTTTATTGAAATATAAGTGAATCATCAATGTACATCTTCATCAATATTCTCAAAGTAAACATGGTCATGTAATGAGGAACCAGATCCAAAACAAGAGATTATCCCAACCCTTAAAAACCCCTCATGCTTCTTTCCAGTAAGTATACTCTCTACCCTGGGAAACAGCATTCTGCATTCTATCATATGTATTTTGGCCCTTTTTGGAAATGCATATCCCTGTCCAATATTTATTCTTTGTGTCTTTCTTCTTTCACTCAACATAATGTTGAGTGAGATTAACCCACGTTGATTCATGTAACTATAGTTTGATTATTGTCGTTGCTCTTTAGTCCTTTTTACACACATAGAACACAATCTATGTGTCCATTCTGTTATTGATGGACATTTGTTTTTGTTTTTTTCAGATTTGGCTTGACTATACAGTTCTACTATATTTCTTCCTGCATCCTCATGCCTCTACCATGATCATTTCTCTTCTGCATGAAGAACCCCCATTACAATTACCTTGCGTGAAGTTCTGCTGATGATGAAGAATCTCGGTATTTAAATGTCTTTATTTAACCTGAACTTTGAAAGACAATATTACTAGATACAGAATTTGAGGTAGGAAATTCTTTTCTTTCAGCTATTTGAATATGATTTCCATTATTTACCAGATTCCATAATTTTACTGAGAAGCCAGTTGCTTTGATACAGTTTCTTTGAAATCAAAGTCCTTTTTAACTGACTTTTAAAAATATATATATTTTATTGATTTTTTACAGAGAGGAAAGGAGAGGGATAGAGAGTTAGAAACATCGATGAGAGAGAAACATCGGTCAGCTGCCTCCTGCACACTCCCTACTGGGTATGTGCCCGCAACCAAGGTACATGCCCTTGACCGGAATCGAACCTGGGACCCTTCAGTCCTCAGGCTGACGCTCTACCCACTGAGCCAAACTGGTTAGGGCCTTTTTAACTGACTTTAAGATTTTTCTCCTTCTATTTGGCTTTCAGTAGCTTTATTATAATTTTCCTTCGTGTAATTTTCTTTATATTTTCCTACTTGGCATTCATAACACTTCTTAAATCTATGGCTGGATGTTTTTCAGCAGTTTTGAAAAATTATCAGCCATTCTTTCTTCAAATATTGCATCTGCCCCATTCTCTCTCCTAGAATTGCACTTACACATGTCCTATGTCTGTTATCTCGGCACTTTCCTTTGTCTTGCTATATTTTATTCTGGATAATTTTTACTGATTTACCTTCCAATTCACTAATTACCTCTTGGCTATGTCTAATCTGCTATTAAACCCATCTACTGATTTTTAAAAATTAATCATTGTATTTTTTTATTCTAGAATTCCAATTCAATTATTTTTTCAGACTCACTTTCTGCTGGAACTTTTTACCTTGTCCTACACTTCCTTGAAATTATTCATCATAGCTATTTAAAAGCCCATGTCTGGTAACTCTAATAAATGTTTTCTACAGGTCTCTTTCATCCCCGCTCCCCACCCCGAGTGTTTTTTCACTTCACTTTTGATCATTTGGTCTTGCCTAATGGAAAGGCTGACAATATTTTACTAAATGCTAGTGTTAAGAATATTTTAAAACAGTTTTAAGTTTTTGTTGATGTTACCTTCCTGAACCAGGCATTTACTTTGCTTTGTAGGTCACTTTATTCTAATCTGTGGGACGGAACTGACATTAGAGTTTGTTTCAGTCTCTGTAGGGGCTGATTCTATTCATTCTTATTCCTAAACTGTAATCCTTTAGGGGGGTCCCAAATGAATGTCTTGATTATTTAGCAGATCCTTAATACCTTCAAACTCCAATTCTAATTTTTGTTCCTTCAATTTCATAAAACTGCTAAAAGCTGCCCTCAGTTTCTCAATTTCTTGGCTCCTTTTAAAGTGGGAAATAGCTCAATGGGAAAAGCAGCTCCAAATGTTAGGCTCATCTCTTCGTTCTGTTATTTTGAAGTTATTGGTGCCTTACGCCTCTGCAATGCCATCACAATTATTTTTTAAATTTATCCAGATGTTAAGTTGCTATTGTAGGAGTGTTGGTCAGGTAGAAGCTATTCAGTCATAGCTGGAAGGGAAAGTTAATCCTCCTCTAGAGATTATCATCTTAACATTGATCATATCTAGACTGACCTGAGCAATTTGAGTGTTTAACTTATTAATACTAAGGAATGACAAGGTTCAAATTAATACTTAGAAATAATACTTTAAAAAGTCTTTTAAAAGCAACACTAAATATGAGCTCTTATTCAGACTGCTAATGGGCACTTACTTTTAAATTTAAACTCTTTGCATATCTCACTCTTAAATAATGCAATGATAAACATCTATGGATATGCACTTTTATGTCATGATGTCCTGAGTAAACTTCTAAAAGCATAATTTCTTGGTCAAAGTTATGGACATTTTTAAAGCTCTGCCACATTTTGGCCTATTGTCTCTAGAAAGATTTGGCTATTACATGGTAATAATTAAACTTAATTTTCTGTGTATCTAAAAATTTGTATTTTTTTAATTTTAGAAGACACAGGAAAATATTTTTATCCTGGAAAATATTTTTCCCTACCCATCCAGCTATAAATTTTTATAACGGAAATTTTTATTTTATTCTTCACACACAGCAAAAGATCTCTTTGAGCATTATTCAAAATATATCAAATTTCATCCATAAAAGGCCATTTGTTCCTGGCAACATGTTTGAGTTTATAATATCAAAGAGGGGGTTCCCCTGAAATTCACATTATAACCTTAAATGCTTCAATAATTGCTGAAGTACAGATCTTGTGAGCAAAGAATTTTAAACATAGTTTGACATTTCCAACATATTTGGGTGATATGACAGTGTTCATGCTCTTCTGTTGCCACCCACTGGAAAGCTCCATTGGAGATGTTTAATACGGGTCAATATATGGCTTGGTTCAGTTCATATGAAGTAGAAAAAACTTGGGTTCTGCACTTTGGAATGACAGGGCCAAACATCGTGTGGCTACCTCTTTAAAAGCTACAAGAATAGGGGGTGGCCTAAGGCACCTCAACCAGGGAGGCTGACTTCAAATTACCAGACACGTCTATTATGAAGTGCTGAAAGGGGAAAGAAAAACAAATAATAAAGTTACAAAACAAAGTTTATTTTATCAAAATTAAAACTGCTTCCTTCTCTGCACTTAAGAGTAACCTTGAGATGGAACGGGCTGAGGGTTACATTGCTATAATCCCTTAGCAGTTGGTTCCACAGCAGGGGGTGCTGCTATAGACAAAATTATAGGGTTAGGAATGTTCACAATTCAGTGACCTGATTGGCTGACTATTCCTCAGGGCTCTTGAATCAAATATTTATACATCTAAATGGGAGCAAAGAAAGGAAAATGGTTCATAAAGAGAGTCCCAGAGCATGTATTATTGAAATAACAGATGGAATATTATATTTTTGAAACATTCTTTCTATAAAGAAGTCTTTTGAAGTGTGTTTTGGTAGGATAAGCTGAGCCAAGAGTGTTGGAGAGAGACAGAAAAAAAAATGGTTTTATTTTCAAATGGTTGGTGTCAGCAGTGTACAAAGTTAGCACTTCCCCAAAACGGCACGTCTCAAATGCACTGCGGGGCAACGTGTTTGCAAAGTCTCTGCTTTACATGGACGTCCCAGGGGAGGAATCATTCAGAAAACACTTGCTTGTCACTGCTCACTTTGTGCCTAGAGTCTCCCAGACCTTGACCTCTCAAATCTTTGCCAAGGGGGTATGGCCCCTCCCCACTGATTTTTCATGTTTCCTAAACTGATTGAAACCTAAGCTAACTTTCAGGGCATTGTCTCATAAAAGCTACTGGCCATCTATTAGCTGAGATTTTGGTAACAAGCAGATTAAGATTGTGGATTTTATGCTATATGGGCAATATTGCTGGATCATCTAGTCGAGGTTTAAGAATAAAAATGGAAGCATGCAAGATAAGGCAAAAAACAGGAAAGCCAGGCAGAAGACCAAATGAAAAATGTATCACATTTGCTTTATTTTCCTCTACGTGGAAGCCTGAATCCATGACAGAATCAATAGTTCAGAATGATTCTGTTGTCTTTCCAGGAAAAATATCCCATTACTAAGCAATCAGTTAAAGTGCTCCATGGCCAGTCCAACTTCTCCATCATTTAGCTCTCAGGGCATGGTTAAGGACATGCTAGTCTCATCTGTGGACTGGATGTGCTATATGATGATGAGATTTATGCATGACAACTGGCAGTTACTCTGGCCAAGGAAAGAGAGAAATCACAGGAACATAGTTATTTTGACTTTGTATCCAGACATGATCTCTATCCATGATGGGGATCTGAATGTAATTCCTGGTCGAGCTATTGTTATGAGGAACAAAAGGAAGAGTATCCTGGGAGAAGGGGTAATGCTTATGATGTAATAAATAAAGGAAGTTCATTCCTGTTGAAGCCCAAGCTATTGATATTTGCTGATCGGGTGATCCAGGTATTGATGAGTTCTAGGATTTGACTTTTTTGTACAGGTCCTGAACATCAAACAATAGCCAGTTGGCAAAGGGTAAAAAGCCAGTAATCTATGGCTTCTGAAAAATCAGAGTTACAACCAGATAGCAACCTCTGCCAAAAGAAAGAGGCTATAAGAGAAAAAGAGAAAGCAACTCATTTCCACCCACCTGTGGGGCCACGTCAGAGCAAAGTAAGAAAATGCTTGGGCAATGCCTCCTTGGGCGATAGCTTCTGCTCAGGGAGTTGACTCAGAAAGCATCAGAGGCTCAGGGCTCCAGCCGGCAGCAGAAAGGACTCTTGGCAGAGCTGTTTCCTGCACCTCTTTTGATCATAGGGCTCAGGCTTGGAAAGGTTTTCACCAGTCTTGTGGTTTCCTGGTCGTGCGTCAATACATTCTGGCTGAAATACTTCACTTCCTTCGGGCCAGCCCCTCCACCAATGGCTCCTGGCTCCCTGGTTCACTCTCTCCAGCTTTGAACTAGACTCCAAGGACACTGCTGGCTGCAGCAAGAACCTTGAATGAGAGGCCTACAGCTGGATGCGAGCCCTCCCCTCTTTGCAACGGGGATCCTAAGTGGGGAAAAAATAGGTTTAATGGAACCAAAAGTCCATTGAAGCATCGAAGCGTAGAATATTATATCTGGTTCCCACACAATTTCTTTTAAAAGACAGTCTGCAATAGAATCAACTGGACAACTGGTTAAATTATAGAAGTTCCCAGACCTTCTAAACCAGAATCTCTGAGTGGATACTGGGAGTCAGTGTTTTTAAGAATCTCCTTCACAATTCTGACACACAGTCACTGCCTAGTATAATAGACCCAATTTCATAAATTAGGAAACTCTGGCCCAGAAAAACAGGCCCTAACCACGGAATGTTCCTATGTGCTTCGACCCCATGGATCTCTCTAAACAGGACGCATTCTGCTACATAGGATCCTTTTTAAAATCTACCACTCTCAACTCAGGTAGTATTAGAGAAAAATGTGTAAATTCAGAACAGCTTTCAGTAAAGATAGTGCTTTTGTTCATCTGTTTTTGGTGAGGACTCTGGCAATTCGGACAACTCACATATACGAAAAAGGAATTTCTCAGACACGTTAGTGAGTAATAATTACATACAGTCATTTAAAAATTTCAGGGTTAGCTAGAACAAGGTTTCTGATGGATTATGTGGGGGGAGTGGTGTGGTGTCAGAAGGATTGAAAAGAAGACCAAAGAATTTCCCAATGAAAATGGATTAACTGTCCTCTTGAACTGGATGGCATTAGAAACACTAGATTCTGCAATGGATCAGAACCATCATAAGCTGAAAATAGCACCAGGAATACTATATGCTTTTATCATTCATGTTTTATAGACCAGAGTTTAGATTGTGCAAAAGCATAATCCCATGTGACTAAGTACTTAGTGGTAAATGCATGGAAGAAATTTTTTTTTAGTAGAATAAAATTGTGGTTGCTAATACAACTTTTGGAGTAAGATATACTATATGAATCAAAACCCCAGCTCTACTATTACTAGCTGTGTGGCCTTGAAGAAGTTACTTAACTTGAGTTTTAATTTCCTCATCTATAAAATGAAGCCTGACAAGGGCTTTTCGGAATATTAAAGCATGGCGGGGAGGAGAGGATTGGGGAGGGGGGTGCTGAGGTTATTGAAGAAAACAAAAGGCAAAGAGAAAAATGCAGATGAACTAAGATGACCAAAGGAGAAGACATCTAGACTAATAAAGCTAAAAGAGAAACACACTAAAAATATTTGTATGGTAATTAATCTAAAATCTCAAGCTAAGTTTTGTCACCCATCCCCAGAGTCCAGTGCCCACAGACACTCTACCTAACCCTAGGAGAATGTATAGACTGTGAACATGGCTAGAATATATGCATTGGGTCAGCTTCATAAAATTAAGGATTGATTTTTATGTGTTTTTTTTTCACTCTCATGACCAGAGTTTAGTTGTGAAATTAATGAATGCATTTGGTGGGATTAAATAAGGGCCCAAAGCCTTGATATTTCAATAGGGGAGGAGGCTGGTGAATACATAATGAATATAGAAATAACTCTGTGTCTTCTGGATGATGGCTCTACTGTGTGCAACTATGATTTTGAAAGCCATGGTAACCAAGAGATGAGGAAAGTTTCCCTTCAACTCTACATTGAAACCAATGTACCTGGAGAACAATTGCCTAGAAGGAAGTTCTGATATTAGCAACACATTGCCAAATAAATAGAAGGTGATACTGTTAGTATCTCAAATTAGATGAAGTCAAGAAAACCAAAAGTTTGCCCTGAATGTTTTAAAAAATATTGCTACAATGTAATAGTCTTGCTGGATAGGTATTAAAAATAGACAGAACTTTAATAAAATCCTTCTTGTATTATTAGAGTTAAAGTTTAAAGCCACTAAATTTTTAAAAGGAAGTAAGGGTGCAGGGGGTAAGGAGGGAGGAAGGGAGGAAAGAAGAGAGAAAGGAGAGAAAAGGGGGAAATAAAGGAAGGAAGGAAGGGATGCAAGGAGGGAGACAGGGAAGGAAGTAAAATCAACAAACAGAGCATAGGATCATATACTTAAACCAAATTGTAAGTTAGCTGAAATCTGAATTATTTTCTCTTAAAATATCCTTAGTAAAACAAATCAAGTTAGGGGCTATAAAATGAGTCAAACTGTCACAAAGAACAAAAGTAGTTCCCACTTCACAGCTCTCTGCTGTGTACCCAGAGCCTTGATCGGTGAGAGTGGCACGCATGTTGGTTATGAGCTTAAGCTTGGGGTCAGAGAGATGACAATTTCTCTAATTCTGTGATTTCAAACAAGCCACCTATCCTGACTGAGCCTGTTATTTTGATGTTTCTGCAAAAGGGAGTTAAGATGACACACCTCACAGGAGTTTTGTAAAGTTTGGTCCAGAATCTGGTACACTCTTAGGCTCCACAAATGATGACTACCATTTTTATCATCATCATCATTAATATTATTGAGATACTGAAATATCTGAGATTTGTGATTTAAAAATGAGCTGTATGATTTGGTCTGAAAAATGGAGCTGGGTAATGTATTCATTGCTAGACCCCCTGAGAAAAAAGATCTGAACACTACTCTCCTGCAGCAGTTGGGATGGTTACAGTTAGCTTTTATATAGCCTTATGCTTCACAAACTGCATGCAACTTTTGCTATCCTTTGCAATCGACCTCCTGGTTACACAGAATAAATTTTACCTTTTGCTGATGGAGCAACGAGAGCAAAGAAAAATAAAATATTTGGCCTTGGATCATAAGATGAGCTGTAATTATCGTAATTCCCCAAATCCCAGTCCCGGGTTCAGCCAAACAAACTAGGGTTTCCATGAGGTTTAACAGTGAGTCAACCCTGGAGACATTTGGGACAATTTTAAATCCAAGAATACTTTGTGTTTCTTATTTTATAAAAAAAGAGTGAACTGAAACTGAGGAATAGGGAATGCAAGGCAGTGTTGTGAAGGAATTAAGGAGTTTTTAGGCTCTGCTGTAAAAACAAAGTTGATTTGATTCATGAGCTATAGGAAGATTATTCTGCCAACAGAGAACTAAAGAGTGAGGTCAGTTTCAGAGAAAAATGATTAACATAGTCTGTGTGGTTACTAAGGTGGTTGCATGGAGACCTAAAATTTTTTAAATAAAATAAGAAATGCTGAATCCAGTTCTGAGAGGTTACAGAATAGACTAGAAAGAACACAGAGTAGGAATAAAGAGTCCTGGCTCTGTCCATTAGTAATTAAACTGCTTTATGGAAATCACATAAATTTTTAAAGTGAAGATCTCTAAGTTAACCCTACAGAATGGTTACACAGACATAATAAAAGTGTCTTTTTGAAGAGTGTTTTAAAAACCTCTTCCACTCAAAAAAATACCTGTTAAAAATGTAGCCCTAAGTCTCATTCTTTTCTTACCCACAAATAGATATTAATCACTAGGTATTAGATATTATAATGGATTCAAAGACCTACCTACAAAACATGGATTTGATGCTTGGGAAATTGAGTTAGAGAGTAAAACATAAAAGGACAGAATTATATGAAAATAAATCAAGACATAACTTGATAAATTACTGAAAGATTGCTACAGAAGACTGCTATAGAGATCCATTCATATTTATGAGAAACTGCTGAAAGCTGGCACAGTGATTAAGGAAAGCAAAATAAAAGGAGGTTGGATTTGATATCAGACATGAAGGACATGAATTGTTAAAATGGAAATGAGGGGGTCTTTATATTATACTGAAGAATTAGAAGTTTACGGACACTGGAGAGTATCTAAAAATGTTTTCATGGAAATGAATCTTTAGGAAGACTCATTCAGCAAATATAGTTTGGAAGGAGAGTATAAGCAAAGAGACTCATAATACATTTGTGATAGTTCAAATATCAAATACAGTGATAATTGTTAGAATTAAAATGAAACAAAGTTTGTGAGAGATCTTTTGAGCGATTTCTTGAAAAAGAAAATCTACACAATCTGACAATTGACTGGAAGGAGAAAGTAAACGTCAGGGTAAAAATTAGGCAACAATGACTAGTTTTAAGCCTAAGTTTAGAGAAGCAGGTACCATACATTGACCTGGGATATTAAAGGAGAATGTTTTGGTAAATTTTCAGTACAGTACTTAGGGCACAGTAGTAACTCTAGAAATTAGTACTGGCAGGTATGCTCAAAGATGTCACAAGAAATCAAGGGTAGGCTAGAGAGAATCAGAGACCAGGAAACAAAAAGTTAGGGCCATATTTGGCAAATCCCATTGTCTGTAAATATGTTCTCTACCTTGCAGACAAGGCATCATCCACAATGACATACGCAGCATATCTTCACATGACTTGAGAAAAATGAATAGCAGTTTGCTTATATATTACCAAAACTCAGGTGCCATAATGTTGTTCAAAGTGTATGTGGAGTATGTCAATAAAATAACTTTTGTTAGAGCACATTTTAAGAATGATGACTTATAATCCTAATAACTGTTAAAAAATACCTTAATAATTGTGGTAGGCAGAATAACATTCCCCCAAAGATGTCTAATCCTTGGAACCTATGAATATGTTACCTTCATGGCAAAAGGACTTTGCAGAGGTAATAAATTTAAGAACCTTGAGATGGGGAAATTATCCTGGATTGTCAGTAGGTCCCGATATAATCACAGTGTCCTTTTTTGGTCAAGGGGGTGATGGTTAGAAGAATCAGAGTTAGAAATAGATTTGAAGATGTTATGCTTCTTACTTTGAAGACCGAGAAGTGGCTATGAGCCAAGGAATGCATGCGACCTCTAAAAACTGGAAAGGGCAAAGAAACACATTCTCCCCTAGAGCCTCAAAAAGGAATGCAGGCCTGTCAACACATTGATATTAGCCCAGTGAGATTCTTATTGAACTTCTGACCTATAAGATTGTAAGATAATAAATTTGTGCTTTTAAAGCCACTAAGTTAGAGATAACTTGTTACAGAAGCAACAGGAAACTCATACAATAATATTACATACATTTTCTGAGCGACACATGCTCATTATAGAAAATTTAGAAATTATTAAAAGATATGGCAGC